AGAATATTTCATCAAAGTCTACGTTCTTTCTCTGATTGAATCTCTTCACAACCAATCTAGCTTTGAATCTTGGTTGCGAGCTATTCTCACTTGTTTTCAGTCTAAACACCCATTTATTCTTGAGTGCTCTCTTGCCCTTAGGTAGCTTCACCAGGTCATACGTGTTATTCTCATGCAAGGATTTGATCTCATCTTGCATGGCTGCTAACCACTGATCTTTCTGCTCATGACTAAGAACCTCTTCATACGACTCTGGCTCTCCCCCATTAGTAAGCAACAAATACTCATGAGCACTGTACCTGGTGGAAGGTCTCTTGTCTCTGGTGGACCTCCTAGGCTGAACAGGAGGTGATGAAACCAGTGGTGTCTGTTTCATGCATGGATCATCATCAAACTCACCATCCTGCTCTGTCTCAGCTCCCCCTTCAGGAGAATCATCTGATTATGGAGGAACTGGATCTAGATCAACAGAAATCTCAGGTGAAGATTCTGGCATCTCGCCTTTTCCCATATCATCAATGGTCTGGTCTTCAAAGAAGATCACATCTCTGCTTCTGAAAACTTTCTTCTCTACAGGATCCCAAAGTCTGTACCCAAAATCATCATCTCCATACCCCAAGAATACACACTACTTGGATTCGCCATCAAGCTTCGACCTTTCATCTTTGGAAATATGAACAAAGGCACGACAATAAAAAACTCGCAAATGCCTAAATGAGACATCTTTCCCTATCCAAACTTGTTGTGGTAGATCACCATCCAACGGAACTGAGGGAGATAGGTTGATCAAATCAACTGCTGTCTGCATGGCTTCACCCCAAAAAGATTTAGACAGCTTTGCATTCGAGAGCATACACCTAACCTTTTTAGTAATAGTTCTGTTCATTCTTTCTGCCACGCCATTCTGCTGCGGAGTCTTCGAAACACTCTTCTGAAGTTTAATGCCATGGTCTCGGCAATACTTCTCAAACGGACCCCTGTACCCACCACCATTATCTGCTCGAACACACTTCAGCTTCTTGCCAGTCTCTCGTTTAACTCTAAGGTAAAAGTCTTTGAACACATCTAATACCTGATCTTTAGATTTCAAAGAAAAACACCAAACCTTTCAAGCATAGTCATCAATGAAAGTAACAAAGTACAATGCTCCACCCAACGACCTATCTTTCATGTAACATATATCTGTATGAACTAACTCTAGAGGACTGGACTTTCTAGATCGAGGAGAATTTTGAAAGGAAACCCTATGTTGTTTACCATAGATACAATTAACACAAGGTTCTAGAGCAGTACCTTTCACCTCTGGGAGAAATTGCTTCTTACCAAGAATCTGCAATCCCTTAACACTCATGTGTCCAAGCCTTCTGTGCCAGAGATCAATGGAGGCATTGTGAGTCGCATTCACCTCTCCATTCTTCAACTTTGCATTCAACACATACAAAGAGTTCAACTTCTTTCCTCTAGCAACAATAAGATTCCCTCTGGTAATTGTCCAACGGCCACCACCTTCAGTGCTATGATAACCCTCATCATCAAGTTTACCAACGGAAATAAGGTTTAGACGCATATCCGGAACATGTCTGACATTCTTCAAGACAAGAGTACAACCTGTATTCGTTACCAGTGATACCTCTCCCATGCCGACAACATCGCATGAGGCTTGGTTGTCCATTCTTACACGACCAAAATCTCCAGGTGTGTAAGAGGTAAAGAAGTGTCTGTGAGGCGTGACATGATAAGACGCACCTAAATCACCGAACCAATCACTGTCGTGACTCGCAACATTAATTGTATCATCATCACAATACACAAATACATCACTGGTAGTTACTACTGCAGTAGCGTCATCATCACTTGATTCATTCTTCTTGCCTTTACCTTTTCTCGCTGCTAGTTCTCTCTTGAGAACCCTGCACTCCCTCGTAAAGTGCTCATTCCCTTGACAATAGTAGTACACGACATCTTTCTTGGATTTAGACCGTCCCCTGAACTTGTCATTCCGATCACGTGGCCCTCTGCTTTTACTTCTCCCTCTTATGTCTGACTTTTCTGTCACCAGAGCCTGCGACTCAGACTCAATACTCTGCTCTTTTCTTCTGACTTCTTCATTCATCAAAACCTCTTTGACCTGATCCAAGCTCAAGACACCATCCTGGGTTTAATTACTGATTGACACTACCAAAGTATCCTAACTGTCTGGAAGAGAACTAAACAATAACAAAGCCTGCACCTCATCATCCAACATTAAACCTACATTCACAGCTTGGTTCAACAAACCTTGAAACGAACTCAAGTGCTCATTCATGCTAGCACCATCTTTGTACCTCAACCTGGTAATCTGTTTCAGGGCAGATGACTTACTGATGCCTGACTTCTTCCAGTACATATTTCTGATTTTCTCTCAAAGTTCATTAGGTTTTGTTTCTCCCGAAAAGTGATGAAACACACTTTGATCAATCCACTGTCGAATATTACTAACAGTCTTCCTGTGCATATCAGCCCCCTTTTTATTAGTCATATCACTTGGCCTACCTTCATCCCCTAGAACAGGATCTAACAAATCTTTGCAATACAACAAGTCTTCCATTCTAGGTTTCCACGTATGATAATTGGATGAAGTTAATTTAATCATCGTACCAGCACCCGATGACTCTTCTATTTTATTGGTGTAACACCTCAACTACCGAACCGTAGCTCTGATGCCACTGTTGTGGCGGAAAGGGTATAAACACAACAAACCAGCGAAAACAATTTCCAAGAAAAAATCCTTTCCTACTACCAATAAAATAGGACAACCAACCAAACAAGCAACTAATTCAAGAACTGATAAAGTAAAGTAGACAACTAATTTACGTGGAAACCCAAATCGGGAAAAATCACGGGGCTGTAACAACAGTCAAATCTCCACTATCACAATTATGGAAAAACAGTCTTCACCAACCAGTGGATACAAAGGATTTCACCCAAAGGTGGATTACAACAATACTCTTCCAAAACACCTATCACAGAGTAGGACTGGAAAGATCTACCAAAAGAGAGTTAAACTGAAAACTAAACCATAGTTTTTTTTCTTTTTTCTCTCGCACAAAACCCTTGCGCGGCTACCTTAATTCTCCTTCTCTATCAGCTAAAAAACATACCCAAAAGGTTGTGTGCAATATTGCTTTTATAAGCATAAAAAACCAGAACCAAAACCCAATTGAATTAGGTTTATTTTCCCCGGTCAAAAAACAAAGCCAAAACCAAATTAGCTTTTGGTTTCATACTCCGCTGGGCCCAAGTGAGGGGAACAAGCCCAACAGTTTGGTGCTCGAAACTTTGGTCATTGTCCTTTCCTCTTCTCCGGGAAAGCTGACTATACATTCGCCAACAATGAAGTCTCTCACATTGCTCCTATCAAAAACGACTATCGATTCCACAGCCCACGGATATGATTCTAGTGATGATAGTGAAACTGATACTTCAGATGACACAAGTGATGATAGTGAAACTGATGGTTCATATGATACTACTGATGATAGTGAAAGCGATAGCACAGATAATAGTGAAACTGAAAGTAGTGATGAAACTGATAGTACTAGTGATGAGAGTGATAGTGAGAGTAAGAGTGAGAGTAAGAATACTGAATATGAAGCTGCACTAGAGATAAACGAGCCTGCCCTCCAAAACCTCGACATCAAAGATTGTTTCTCTAGTTCTCTGTTGATTACTAATACTGGATCCTCCTTGAATAGTGCAAAACTTGATCTGCGCAAGACCACGTCTTGTCGGTCCGTCATCAACTGTTTCGAAGCATTCCACAACGTCAAGTTTCTGTCTTTAGATGGTGTTAGGGCAGATGCGGATTCAACACTAAGCTTGGAAGCTGGACTTCCATTGTCGGTGACGACGTTTAGGAATTTAACCCACTTAACTCTGAGGGCTAGGTGTTTGTGGCATCCCATGCTGCCTTACTTTCCTCAAAGTTGTGAACAATTACAAGTTTTGAAACTGATCAAAAATGCCAAGAACGCACTTAACACCAAAGCTGATACCCATTTATGGAGTGTTCCGGCCGTTGTACCCAAATGTTTGACCTCAAGCCTCCGAGTAGTTTCGATCGCAGATTTCAGCGAATCAAAAAGTGAGCTTGGTATGTTAAAGTATATCATGAAGCATGGAAATGAGTTACAGACGGTGGAGATACATCCCGTGGCTAAATCCAAAGGAATCGTGAATTACAAACCAAGTTCCGCATAGCTGAGAAGATCATAAATTCAAGAAAGAGGAGGAAAGATGTGAAGTTAGATTTGTTTGAGATCATAATTTCTGGAGAAAATTATGAATGAATTATGCATTTCTTCTGCAATTCTATCAGCCTCGTTCCTCTGGTACTACTTATACTCCTCTGGTACTATTTATAACACTTCAAACATAATAGTTACAGATTTTAATTTTAATTTGATGGTTTTCTAAGTTGGAGTGGAATTTTTTTTTTCCCAACAAAGGTCTATAATGTTAGTTGCGATCACGGACAGGGGGACGACACATATCTTTGTTTAAAGCCTTATGCTGGTTGTTTTCACGTGGTCTTCCTACAAATTCAATTGCCTAATTAACAGGCCATCTCTTTCTTCCTTTACGCCACAGAATTACTTTAAAAATTCCGGACTATTACTCTGAAGACTAAAATGCCGTGATAAACTGAGAAGACTCTGATATTACTAGGGGAAAAAGAAAATAGTTCGAATCCCTCACAAATGAAGGCCCTTACACTATCACCTCCCCTATGTATACTAGGCACCAACCAAAAAAGCATCAATATGAAGTTGGCACATAATAAAATTTATATGATCCTAGTCCTATCCAAATAGGTCAAAATGTGGGGAATTTATAAAGTTAAGAGCATTTTTATTAGACTGAGAGAAATATTTTATGAACTGCCTAAATTATCATTACAATTACAGAACTAAACAATTAAAAACATTTTTATTAGATAGAGAGCAATATTTTATTAACTATCATGGTGAATTCGTCTTCAATATTGGAAAGTTTTCAACGTTGAAGACGAATTTGCCATTAATCTTAAACAATGTGAATTTCATAGTTTCTCCGATCTTCACATTGTATTTCTCCCGAAAAGTCGACCAACCATTTCCGATATCTATTCGACCGTCATGCCTCTTTAGGATCTTTGCTGGCCAAGCTTTCATATCTTCTTCGCTCCGTAGTATCACATCTTTAACTTTGTCCAACTTTGTTCCCCTTGCAAATAATTTTGGAACAATCTAAAAAGATAAATTACGAATGGTGAGAAAAAAGTACATGTACCAAATTTCCAAGACTAAGATAACACTATTTCTAGAAATATACTATTGTATTATGCGGAAATCTGTTTACTTTCATCATCATTTCTTTATGGGCAAATCAGTCACTATTTCATTTCATTATACAATTTCATTACATATATCTTTTTCCTTTCTTTATATAGTTAGAGAAAAAAATAATAATAATGTATTTTTGTATTGTTTTCTTACCACGAAAGATTCTGTGTGCTTCTTCATAGTCTTTATGTAGTACGGATTCTTCGCTTCTAAATCAAAATAGCCGCCAAACTTTGTAAGTTCACTTAGAATCTCACTAGTAATGTTGTTGGCTTGATGAGCTCCTGTTTAGCATGCATCAAAAAAACATGAAAAATTTGTTGTGTCACTAATATACTTTACAAATTCTTACAATTTCTGCAACAAATCAAAGGAAACAATTAGTAGTGATTAAAGTATGGTTTTTTCACTAAGCAATATCATTCCCTTCTATATATTTAAATGTTTAAAAATAACCTGACGAATTTCTTGTTTTCTTGAAGTTTGGAGAGTACGACTTGGAAGCTGAAGCATCTTTTATTTGTTTGTACTTTGTTTTGATATTCTTTTCATCATTGGTTTCATCCTCGTCTTCGTTCTCGTCCTCATCACTTGGGCTATCACCACCATAGAAACGCTTCTTTTGGCACCCATTGGGACCAAAAAGTACCACTTTAATTGTTCTCTTATCGACCAAACGGAAGAACAAATAGTCTCCATGTTTCAAGTCGTGATGCCTCGCAAACTCCGACCATGATAACTTGCAAATGTGATAGTAATGATCCTTCTTTCGAATTTTCACGGGCCAAAGCTTGTTGTTTTCTCCGGTAAGAAGTGAACAATTTGTAGAGACCCTCTTGTCTAGCTCCTTGGAAAAGCTATTGGGTATTCGCTTCAAAAAAAAAAAAAAAAAAAACAAACATAAAATTGTTGGTTAAAAGCTTTCGTCATTTGGAATGGAAATATAAAATTAAAATGATGAAATAGAACTCACAATGCCTAGGATGGGATCTTCTTCCATCAAATGCTTCAGAAAACAAGGATGTTGATTTTTTACCATTCTGAAGGTTTGAAAATGGCTCAATGGACTGACTGTCTAAGAGAGACTTGGGAGGATGAATATATATAGAGAGATTTGAATAGAAACGGTGGCGATGGAGTTAGAGACATGCATGTTGGAAATGGTAAATTTTGAATACATGAATTGAGAGAGTTCCAAAATCAAGTTGTTAAAAATTAATAAGTTTGAATAGTTGAACCAATTTTTTCTTTTTTCGCGTATATATTGTGGTCAACGCTGGAAGGTGTTACCTCGAGACATAGTAAGTTGAACAAAAAAGTAAGATCACAGAAACGAAGATCTATTCTTTAATCCACAATATATTTGGCAATTAGCATTGAAATTCGGACTAGTTAATCAAAACTATACTTTCAACTATAGAAAGGAAAACGGAACCCGCTGTCGAAATCAAGAATCGAATTTAAAGTTTTGGCCATCTGAAAAACAAAATGTGGTGGACTAAGTAAATTAGACGGAATTGAGCAATGCAAATATAATCATATTCCCTTAATTGTTCGGGGTTGAGTGATGGTCATCCTTAGAGGAAAAACTAGGCCTCGCGAGAATTTGGAGGAGAAATTTAAATATACAGTTTTTTTTTAAACAAAACAAATTAATTATACCTTATTATTTTCAGTTTTGGTACGAAAAACTTCCTTTTTTTTTTTCCTTTTTCGTTTGCAAATTTCCTATACGTTAAGGGTAAATGACAGAAAAGTTGGTTGGAAAATTTTATGCGACTCCGCCACTGTTCAATATCGATTAAAAATGGTTGGTGTTTTTGAGCATGCATAGAGCAATTTCAAAACCTTACACAGACTGATTCACCATTTCATTCTGTGCATGAACAATGGTTAGAATACCATATTAAAATTTGAAAACGACTACTGTTACTTTAAAATTTTGAATCCCAAAGTGGGGTTTTAATTCTAGGTTGGACTCTTTCTTTTCTTTTTTTTTTTCCGTGTTACAAGTAACTCCAACAATTGTTATCGGAGCCCATTATAGGGATGAGAATGTTGGGTTTGGGGTGTTTGCTACTTCTTGGCATTAATGCAAAAAATAGGAGACTGCTATGTATTAGACGCAGGATTTGGGCCTATCATTTTAGACCGCAAATAGAAAATCCAGGAAAATCCAATTACAAATCGATACCTGGAAGCAGTTAACCTCCTGTCATATTCAGGGACTAAATTGGCATTTTTGTAAACTGAAGGGGCTAGTTTGGAGGAGGTGGGAAGGCACGCTTTTACAGAAAGATTTGCTGTAATCATTGTGCAGTAATTGTTCATTTTTACTTCTGTAATTCAGCCGTCAGCTTAATAAATACGGCAATCATTTCGTAATAAGGCAGTTAATGAATAATCGGGTTTCTTCTTTAATAAACTTTCCCATTTTTCTAATTCTTCTAGATTCGTCTCTCTTATTCTTCCCCTTTCTTGATCTCCGATCCTCTGAAATCTGACATCTCCGGTGCCGTTCTTTCCATTTCCGACCACCGGTAACTATCTTTTAATTTCTTTTTTGATCCATATCTGACACGTTGGTATCAAAGCCGGGGAATTCCTCAGCTTTGAGAAGACGGAGAAGATGACTCAAACAAAAACTCAGAAAGAATTCGAAGATATACGCGTACAGAATGATGAAGCTACGAATTCAAGTGAAGGACCGATTTCGGTAAGCAGATGCACTCTCAGTTTGAATCGTTGTCTTCAACTTTGATCGGGAAAATAGAGGCGTTGAATTCCAAGAATCCACAACATTCGGGGCCAACGATGTCAACCAATCCCAGGGGAAGTGTGTTGGGACCTGGACCCAGCGACTGTGAACTAGCCACCAATAAACAACCAGAAGGTGTTCCTAAAGTCATCACCGTGGAGCAATCGCCGGCTGATTCCGCCAGAATAAAGGAAAAGATGGTAGTTAGGAATACTCCTCACAATGCACTGCCAAGAATCGAATTGTCTATGTTCAGAGGACTGAAACCACGAGAATGGATAAGAAAGTGTGAAAAGTTTTTCTTGATACAGCAAATTGCAAAGGAACAAAAGGTTGATGCGATGGAACTATACCTTGATGAGGAAGCTGACACTTGGTTTCAAGCAGTGAAGATGATCAAACCGCAGATTTCTTGGGGTGAATTTTGCAAAGAATTGATGAAACGCTTTGTGGTTATTGGGGAAATCAATCCAGTGGAGGAATTCAACAAACTATCACAGAAAGGAAATGTTCATGATTATCAGGTGAAATTTCAGGCGCATAGGGCAAGAATGTTGATTCAAGACCCCCGATTATCTGAGGATTACTTCATTCACAGTTTTATCAGTGGACTAAAGGAAGGATTACAGCCTGGTGTAAGAATGATGGAACCTTTGTGTTTGATTTTTGCTTTCAAGATTGCAAGCTTACAGGAAAAGCAATTGGAGATCACTACCAGGAAACATAGGCCACTGCATTATCAGGTGAACAGACCTTATTCCTCTTCTAGCAGGGTTAATGATCATTCCCGGCATGTTAATAAGAACAATAAGAGCAATAATCCATATTCTTTCAAGAAGTTAACCAATGAGGAATATCAATATATAACAAATAATCACCCGTGTTTCAAGTGTGGAGTGAAGTTTTGCCCTGGACATGTATGTAAATATAGACAGTTTAACATCATGATTGTGAATGAAGATGAGGAAGAATTGGATAAGTCTGAAATTGATGCTCCTGAATTGACTATAGATGATGGAATAGACCTTAATGATTTGACTATTGAAGAAGGATCAATGCATATGTTATCTGTGGACAGTGTTAAGCAAACTATCTTGTATTGGGAAAGATTGAAGGAAGGATCATCAAAATCCTTATTGACACAGGAAGTACTGAATACTAATAGTTTTGTTGATTTGCTTCTTGTCAGAGATATGAAATTTCCATATACTGAAACAAATATATTTACTATAACTGTGGGGAATGGGAGTAAAGTCTCTGGTAGTCTTATGTGTCCTAACCTGCATTGGAAGATCAAGGATTACAAATTTAGCTATGATCTAAAAATCATGAGGTTTGGGGGGTTATGATCTGGTATTGGGGTTGGATTGGATGAGACATTTTAGCCCCCTCACCTTTGATTTTGATGATATGCATATAAGGCTCAGAAAATATGGTAGACAGTATATATTACATGGCAAGGGAAATTTGGAGAGCATGTAGTTAGTGAAAGACAAGGACTGTCAAATACTTACTCAGGAAAGAAGGTGCAGTTTGATGACTATACAGCTAATTGCTATGGATAGCAGTGAAACCTCAATGGTGGAGTACCCTCTTCCAGCTTCCATCATCAAACTGTTGGATAAGTATTGTGAGGTTTTTGATAATCCAAAGTCATTACCACCAAGTAGAGCCATTGACCATCAGATCATTTCGAAGACTGGATCACAACCATTCAAGATAATGCCATACAGATGTCCACATGCCTGAAATGGAGAAGCAAGCGAAGGAGTTACTGGAACAAGGCATTGCTCAACCTAGTTAAAGTCCTTATGTTTCACCAGTCATATTAGTTAAAAGGAAGGATGGCACTTGGTGCATGTGTGTGGATTACAGAAGATTCAATGAGATGATAGTGAAAGACAAATTTCGATACCAATAATTGAAGAGTTTTGGGATGAACTCCAAGGAGCTTCTATTTTCTCTAAGCTGGACCTTGGAGCTGGTTATCATCAAATTTTGGTGAATAAAGAAGATGTTTCTAAGACTTATTTTCAAAGACATCATGGACATTATGAGTTTTTAGTCATGCCCTTTGGATTGACTAATGCTCCAGCCACTTTTCAATCCTTGATGAATCATATATTTTAGGAACAGCTGAGGAAATTTGTATTTTTGTTCTTTGATGACATTTTAGTGTACAGTCAGAATCTGGAAGATTATCTCATCCATCAAGATGAGGTACTTAAAACACTGAAGCAGCATCAACCTTTTCCCAAGAGAAGTGTATGTTTGCACAGAGTCAAGTTGAGTATCTTGGGCACATTATATCTTCAAATGGTGTAAGTATGGATCCTGCAAGATTGACAATATCAAGAAATGGACAAATCCTGCTTCTGTTAAAGCTTTAAGAGGATTTCTGGAGCTTACTGGTTACTATAGAAGATTTGTAAAAGGCTATGGCATCATTTGCAAGCCTCTTCCAAATCTACTGCAAAAGAATGCTTTTGTATGGAACAGTGAAGCTCAACAGTCATTTGAAAAACTAAAGGAGATTATGTCTACTGCATCAGTGTTGAAAATGCCTGATTTCTCTCAACCTTTCATTGTGGAGATTGATGCTAGTGACTTGGGTATGGGTGTTGTGCTAATGTAGGTAGGTCAACCCATAGCTTTTATCATCAAAGCTTTCAGTCCTCAACATAAGGGTTTCTCTGTATATTACAAGGAATTGATGGCCTTGGTTTTGGCTGTAACCAAGTGGAGACATTATCTATTGGGAAACAAGTTCATCATTAAGACTGATCATCAGTCTTTGAAATACTTGCTGGAACAGAAGGTGATCAACACCAATCAGCATAAGTGGCTCACCAAACTTTTGGGGTATGATTATGAGATTCAATATAAGAAGGGAAGAGACAATGAAGCAGCTGATGCTCTTTCAAGGGTTGAAATGGTTAAAAATAACAAGGAAGAAGCTGCTTAGCCATTACTTCAGTACAACCCAGGTGGATTCAAGATGTAGTGGCTAGCTATCAGGTATATTCTACAGCACTTGAGCTTATAGTCGGCATGACCATCAACCGTGCTGCTTATCCTGAATATATGTATGTTAATGGCATCTTAAGGAAGAGTGGATGAGTGTATATTGGGAATCATCAGGAACTCAAGTTGAAAATCTTGGCTGCTTTGCATTCTTTACCTCTTGGTGGCCATTCTGGTCAAAATGTCACCTTCCAGAGATTGAGGACAATCTTTTACTG